GTGTCATATTTCTTCTCTGTTGTGTCTGCATAACGCTTATGGAACTAGTCATGGCACTTTTGGTTCATAGATAGCTTTGGTCCAACAAGTAATAATTACGTTTCTAAAATTTGGAAGCTATGAGATAAGATATTTTTTAAATATTTATATATTTTTTCTGAATAGTTTGTATTCATCTGTTCTGGCTTATTAGCTCCTTTTTCATTTCCTGCTCTCTTCAACTGTTTGATATATATGGTGCTGTAAGAGAGCAGATATGCATCAGAAGATAAACAATTTAAACTGCATACAGTGAATAGGTGTCTAGTTATCTTTTAAGGTAAAATGAGTTTGTCTGTTTTTGCATATTAAATAGTAATTGCCTTTTGTTCATTATTAGTCATTGTGCTAGAAACCTTGTGTTTTATTAAAATCCAATATAATTGATTGAAGATACACTTGTAGTAAAAATTATACAGCAAGTAAAATGTGAAAGCCTTCTCTACCCTTCCAAAAGACTCTGTGCACCTCTGCAGCAGGAAACCATGTTAGCATTGTCTTATGTTCTTCTAGAAATTACCTTGTATATTCTAACCACTTATGTGTAGCTCCCTCACATTTTTAACAAAATGGACTCCTACCATATAGGCCAGTCTGCAGCTAGTTTTATTTACACATAAAGATGTCTTTTGGACTTCCTCCTGTAGCAATAATCCTGATCCAACTCATTCTTTTTTGTTGTTGTACAGAATACCCCGTGTAGGGATATGGCAGAATTAATTCTCCCATTAATGAGACTTTAGATTGTTTCCAGTTTTCTCTGGTACAAACAGAGTTGCAGTTAGCAGTTGTATCCATACATTCATCTTTACACCTTGTTCAGGTAGGTCCAAAGATAAAGGCCCAGTACAGTTGTTGGTTAAAGATGAGGGTATTTTAAATTTTGATTAGTTGTGCCATGTTGGTCTCTTAGAGGGTTGTGCCAATGCGCATTTCAAACAGATTCAACTCTAAGAACAATGGAGACTGAGAGACCCTAAGAGTGTAAGTAACGTGACCCAGGTCCTCAAACGATACCAGTACCTGGTATAGTTACCTTCCAAATTCAGACCTACCCAGGCTATTTCTTCCATGATCCAGCTGTCTCGGCTGCCATTTAAAAACATAATTTTGGCTTTCCAACTAGGAAGCAGCATTCTGTATTTTTTAAAAAAATATTCTCATCACTCAACAAAGCAATAATGCTTATTCTTCCACTATAAATACACAGCCCTTTACAGTTTTCAAAACATTTTCCCATTCTTGCAGTAATCCTATGAGATGACCATGGATTATTATCCTGATTTATACGTGTGAAGAACTGAGGCTCAAAGGGGAAGAAAAATACTTAAATGTTAAAATGTAATCCAACGATGGTCCTTGGCCAAAAAGGCCTTCTAGCCCGCACACTGCTGAAGCACCCAGGACTTTAAAGTGCTGGTGGAGAAGGGGAGAGGGAGAGTGGGATTTGCGGCTTTGTTGACGCATCACACGCGTGAACAACAGGAAATACACTGAAGTCTCTGGCCACGGGCCCTATCATTGCTGAGCCAGTGCCTCAGGACCAGCTCTCTCCTGGCAGCCCCTGCATGTTACGGCCCTGGGCAAAACAGGTGATTTCAACGTCGCCGTCTCTCAAAGTTGTTCCTGATGTTTGACCCCAAACTGACTGGAAACGTCCACCATCCATACTATGATCACTGCATTTATCATCACAGGGCATTGCATTTACTGTCACACAATAGTTCCTTTCTGTGATGTGGCCTCTTCCTCTAGCTCATCTGCCTTCCTGTTCTATCCTAGGCTCAGGTTACATTTTTTCCTCATTTGTCTCAGTTCTAAAGAGATAAGATCTCTCCCGGCCTCTGGTCAGCTCTTGACCTCAGATGTAAACTTTGCTGGCTCTCCTGGTCCCCTGAATTCCTGTGCAAATACATCCCTGGGACGAAATTCATAGACGTTTCTTAGAACAATTTCTTTCTGGTTTTGCTTCTTCTTATTTTTTACTTATAATTCATAACTTATTTATAAAGTCAATTTGGTTTTTCTCATTTTATGATTAAAGACACAACCATAGAAAGCTCATGTGACTTACTTCAACTACAAGCCAAAGCCAGAGTTCAAATTATTCTTTACTATCCACTAGTTCCTACTTTGCTGCAAAAAGTCTCCAAGTTTCGAAACAGGTTTTGTTCCAAAAATTCATTTGTAAGTCAGTTATTTGGCATTTGAACTGCATTTTACCACAGTGGGGGAAAAAATGTTATAAATGGTGATTAAGTCCCTTGGCTGGCCTGCAGAAATCCATTTAACTCTTATGTAACTACAAAATGATTCATTTGTAATGAAAATAAGAGGGAATGATAGTTGTAATTCTGGTTACCACGAAAAAGAGAGATTGTTTTCTCCTGAAGAGAAGCAGATTCAGCTAAAAGATAGGGGAACAAAAGCAGTTGACAAGCGCCCAGAGGGGATTTCGGGCACTTTGAAGGGTGTTAGAGATAGATGACACTGTTTTAAGCCCAGTTTCACTTGAAAACTTTGAGGATTTTGTTGTTAGAGACTTCCCACTAGCATAACTCACCTGACAGCTGTGATTAGAGTCAATAGGATGGATTGAATTACTTTTAAAAAAAACCCAAAACTCTCGGAGATATTAACCAACCTGGGGTGGTAGAACCAAACCCTCAAACCAGAAAAAGTCTTCCTTCTATCCTCCTGGTGGAAGCGTTAGCGGGAATCGGGATGTTCCCATTGGTCCCAGCAGGTCCGTCACGTGGGGTAGCTCAGCCTGTGGCTGGAGAGAGGGCGTGGCAGCACGAGTGATGGGCGTGGCCTGTGCCTTCGGCCTTGGTGCAGTGAGAGGCTCTGCTTCCGGGAAATGGCAGCGTTTGTCTGATGTTTGCCTCTTCCGTTGTCTACACTGCCTTTCACTTAAGCATACAAATAAATGTCTTAAACTTCACCTGACTTTTTGAAATCTAATGCCTTTCCAGGTGGCCCTTCTGCGTTATTGTTTTCAGAGTGTTTGCATACAGCTTTTTTCTTTTGATAACAACACAAGGGAAGAAACATTCTTTGCAGACCGAAGCCCAAGTGGGCTGGTCTGGCTGAGCCGGCTCACCAAAAGAAAGGGAGGCTCGGAAGAGGAGTTGGCGTCCCCGGGGTCAGGCTAGGACCCCGCCCTGCCCTCCCACTACCTGGGCAATAGAACACAGTCAGCTGCCATTGCTTTGTGTTGGGTATGGTAGTTGAATGTTTTACAAAACAAGTAAAACTGTGTTTTATAGTATATATTTGTACCCAGGAGTGATTCAGTGAAGGAGAGAGCAGCTCTATTTACCACGACAATTCAGAAACCCCACAGCTTCATAGAAGGACGTTGGGGTTGGCAGCCCACTTTCAAAGGTGACAAGGCTATGAGAGAAGGAACATCCGCCTGCTTTGATATATGTTTTAATATTTATAAATGTTTTGCCTTTTCATTGAAACAATTTATAAAATTCAATGTCTTCTTAGCTTTGATGTTTCTCTAATGGAGTGTGTGTGTGTGTGTGTGTGTGTGTAAGGAGTTTTATCTAAAAGGTGAATAAGTGAATAATGCTAAATTTATGTCCTACCGTAATGAGTATCTTCAGGGATGATGATTTGGATGGAAACTTGATGCATTGTGCCGGCCTGTTGTGCTCAGAAATGCCCCTGTTGAGTAGCTTTAGATTGGGTGAAAACATGCCTGTACTCAGACCGAAAAGAGATGATTTCGCCTGGTACCCGTGTGTCTGTGCAAAGTGCGCAGAGATTTCTCCGGATGCTGTTTCTCTGCGTGGAAGAAGGCTAAGCCAGAGTGTGCATTCCTTTTTTTTCTTGTTGGCTTTCATGTAAGGTTAAGTAGACCAATAATAGCATTTGATGACCCATCTTTTTAACTGCAAATTTCCAGATTTTGTGTGTATGCTGGTCAGGGGGTGGTGAGCGGCGGGCGGGGGGGAGGGAGGGAGGAGGTCATCTGTTTTTGCTTTTATTTGTTGACTGGACAGAAATATGTTACTGGTAATTTGAGGGTTTTCTTTTCTTTCCTTCTTCTTCTTCCTTCTTTCTTCTTCTTCTTCTTTTTTTTTTTTAATTTGAAGACCTGGACCCTTTGGTGGAAGGGGAAAAGTTAAGAACAGAAATCTCATTTGAAGCAAATGCTGCCCACACTATTATTTTTCTCACCTGCAAGCAACGAATGCTACCTGTAGTACATAACATACAAAACAATAAGTTCATGGCAACTTACATGGCATGTTTGGTCGCTATTTTTTTCAGCATTGTATGTATTGGAGTAGTGGATAAACCTTTGGTGTCTGATACCTCGTTTGCCACGATTCTTTGCTTAGCTGATTACTTTTTAGTTCCTTTTGTTTATTCTTATTCTAGGACCTGAGTGACTTCGAGGAAAAATTCTATTTTCTTGACATTTTTCTAAGACATAAGACATTCTTAAGATTAGTGACATTATTTGAACCGACACAGCTTACCGCCCTGAGGGGCCCTTCCTGTTGCCCCCCCTCCCCCACCCCACACCCCCATCCTGGGGGCAGGCCGCCCCAAGCAGGATAGTGCTGAAAAGCCAAGGACGATATTGGTATTCTCGCCCTTCTTCCTCCTCCTCTCCGCACCCTAAAATCTTAACTGATACTTGCAGCTCTAGGACGGGGTGGGGGGAGGGTGGGGGGAGGTAAAGAAGGGCATTGAAAGGAGGGGCAGGAAGTAGGCAGGACAGGAGAGGGTTCTCGGGTGCATGAAGTGGCCGGGAGGAAAGACGAGGAGGACTGGGGTGTCGCCAGGCTCTGTTGCACCGACCAGTCCCGGGAGCCTTGTCACGGCTCCCGCCAGAACCCTCGTTTTCACAGGGCTGTGCTGGAGGAGCCTGCCTGCCTTCCCCGCAGACGTGCCAGCCTGGCTGTGCCCGGATGACTCTGTCCCCTCCTTCTCCGCAGGGTCGCCGGACGCGAGCATGGCTCTGAGCAACGGCAGCGGCAGCGAGTGTGCGGCGCTGAGCCCCGGCGGCGTGGCGGCCGGGCCGCCCCACCCCGGCCACCTCCCCGCCTGCGACGGAGACCCCGCAGCGCAGCAGCTCACCCCGAAAGAGGCACCGAGAGCGAAAGCGAGCCCCAACGGCTGCCTGCCGGCGAACGGCACGGTCAGGTCCTCCTTCCTGCCGGCCGACAGTCCCCGAGCCACGCCGCTGGTGTCCCCCGGCTGCCCGCCCTGCCCGTACCACCACGCGCTGACGAGCCATAGCGGCCACCACGAGGGCGCCCCCGAGGCCGGCTCCGCGTCGCCCGCGGCCCTGGCCGCCTGCTGCCTGCAGCAGCCCTCGGAGTACACCGTGGCGCTCTGTCCCCACCACGCCCCTGTCTATCAGGCCGCGTGCTGCCTCCAGCCCTCGCCCTCCTTCTGCCTGCATCACCCGTGGCCCGACCACTTCCAGCACCAGCCGGCGCCGCGGCACCTGGCCAGCATCCGGTGAGTGGTCCCGGGCCGCGCTCGCGCGAGCATGCGTAGTCAGCCCCCCCCCCGTGAGCGTGACAGCTCGTGTTGATGTCCGCAAAGGGGCAGAAACACGCGACAGAGGAAGAAAACCAATGGAAATGCATGTTTTGTGGACTGCGTAAAGCCTACTGAAATGCCAATAACACAATGCCGTATCTGTTTTATCCATTGACGCCTCAGTCCTTCAAACCGTCCCTCCCTGCTCCCTCTCTGCTAGCTGTCCCGGCTAGGCCTTGAGCTACGAAGTTCAGTAAAATGTTGTATTAGTAGTAGTTTCTGTTATCAAACATGCGGAGGCTGCCTGAACAGGAGCCTTTGGTTTTCTATGATTGGTAGTGATCAACCGTTGTGGGAAAGGAAAGTACAAAGCCAGGTGCTTCCTTGTGGCTGTCTCCACAGTGGCGATTCATGTGGCAGGGGCAACTATGTCGGGCGTTCAGATCAGACGAAAGCAACATGCCTTTTCATAGCAGATGTCCTACGCAGCCTAGGACCTAAGACATATTTTTTGTAAAGTACTTGCTGATCCAGTTGATTGGAGAGTAAGTACTAGAAAAATCTCTATCATTTTCAGGTCCCCTTCACTGCGCAGCCCGTAATTTTCTCATTGTTAAGTGATGTGCATTGCGGGTGAGCACTGGTAATAGATTTGGTCAAATACGAAGTGCCCTGTAGAGACCAAGTATTATTTTACATTTTTGGGTAATAAAAAGTTTTAAAAGAGATAGAAGAGAGCACATTCCCTTTTTTAAAATTAGGGTATAATTTACATGCAGGGAGACGCTCATTATCTTAGGTCGGCAGTTTGATTAGTTTCAGCAAGTGTACACACCCGTCTAACCCATCGTGCGTGGTTCAGCGTAGAACATTTCTATCACCCCACAAAGTTTCCTCCTCTCTCTTCGTGGGCACTTCTCTCTTCCCCCGAAGCAATCACTGTTCTGATTACCATACATTTGCTTGGCCTACTCTAAAACATCTTATGAATAGAATCATAGTATGTGCTCTTTGGTGTCTGGCGATTTTGACTCAGCTAATACACAGTTAGTTTCCCTTTTCATTGCTGAGTAGTAATGCATTGCATGCATGTAGCAAACTCACTTTTAATTAATGAGTCAGCCCTAAAGTTAGTAACACCCAGGGATGTAAAATACAGCCTGGTGATGATAGGGGATAATACTGTGTTGTATATTGGAAAGTTGCTAAAAGAGTAGATCTTAAAAGTTTTCATCACAAGAAAAAGAAGTTTCTGTAACTGTGTACGGTAGTGGATGTTAATGAGACTTACTCTGGCGATCGTTTCACAGTATGTGCACTACAAATAGTGATTCATTATGTTAGATACCTGAATGTAATACAATGTTACATTGTTATATAGTCAATTATAGCCATAATGTTATAGAGTCAATTACATATCAATTTTTAAAAAAAGAATCAGATGCACACAGGCAATAAGGAATAAATCTATTCTACCTTTATAAGGTTTTAGATGCTGTTGAGATTGTCTGGTTTGACTCTAAAAAGAGCGGAAGAGGAAGATGAGGGAAGAGGATGGGGGGTGGTCCTCTTCTGTGTGTCCCTACATTTTCCCGTGGCAGATGTGAGAGTTTCAGTTCCAGAACTGTGATAAGAACAGGCACCAAAACCATTTCTTAGATTCGGCCTGACAGTCCTGTGTTGCATGAGCAGCTTTAGACTCTTTCCACTTTAACTTGTGTAAATAGTTGATTTTGAAATTCCATGGTCATAAATATTGATGTTTTGGAATCATAAATTATGGTTGCAGAATATGGGATGAGATAGTTCTATATTTTGAAGCTGATCCCTCCTTTTAAAAAACTTCACAAAATATTAAAACTATGGGCAAGTAACCAGTTCGTTCAATGTGGCGGGTGTGTCAGTATTTTCAAGACTTGGCTTAGCATTTCCCAAAGACCTAATTTTAAAGGAATGAGAATCCTATGTACATACAACTTTAAATTAAACAGAATGGCATTAAAAAACAAACTAATAAAAATGCATATTTATCCATCGTGAACATTTGTAGAAGAAATTGGAATATTATGTGAAAAATTTTTTATATTTAGAATTTTTCTCTGGAATCTGAGCCTTTTGATCAACTCTTTGTAACAAGACATAGAATCTTTCAAAGATGGCTGCAAAGGAATGCTTGGTGTCCAGTTGTGGGTATTACTTACTTTATTGTAAAATGTGTGCTTCCAGCAGTACTTTCCAATTTTCTACACTTGTCTACTTATATAACCAAAGTTGACTGAATATTTACATGTGCCAGGCACCGAAGATGTAATTCTAAGTAAGCTGAGACCTGTTTTTGCCTTCCGAGAGCTATAAGGCAGCGGGAAGGGAGACGGAAAAGCAAACAGGCAGCTACAGTATTGTGGTAAGCGCTACCAAGAAGAGCTCACAGGGCCAAAGATGGGAATAGAAGCGACAGGTGAGAGGGGGTTGTCTAGTAGATGGCAGGAACAGTTTGTGCAAAGATTACAAAGTTTGTGCGTGAGCGCAGCTTCAACCCGGTTCCGCGTGGAGGGAGAGTGGGAGGAGAGGCGAGGTGTGCTGGGGCCAAGTCCTGAGGACAGTCACTCGCATTAAGGAGAGCTCTAGGCTTTGCCCCGAGGCCAGTGAGGAGGCATTGCAGATTTTGGGGGGTGCACGGGTTTTTAAATTGTGGAGGAAATTGTGTGTGTGTGTGTGTGTGTGTGTATGGTATCATTTAACCATTTTAAGCGTACAGTTCAGTAGCGTTAGGTACATCCACATTACCATGCGGTCACCACCACCATCCATCTCCAGAACATTCTTCGTCTTCCCAAATGGAAACATCACACCCACTAAACAGTAATTCCCCTTTCCACCCCAAGCGCCTGCCAACCTCCATTCTACTTTCTGTCACCAAGAATTTGACTATTCTAGGTGCCTCGTATAATTGGAATCACATAGTATGTGTCTTTTTGTGAATGGCTGATTTCACTAAGCAAGGTTCCCTTAAGGTTTACCCAAGTCATAGAGCAGGCCAGAATCTCCTCCCTTTGGAAGGCTGAACAGCGCCCCACTGTACGTATGCGTGCCCCACGTGGTGTTTTTCCATTGGTCTGTCAGGGGACAGCTGGGCTGCCTCACCTTTTGGCTGTCGTGAATAGTGCTGCTGTGAACAGGGGTAAACCAGTATCTCTTTGAGTTTCTGCTTTCACTTCTTTTGGATATAGACCCAGAAGTACTGTTACTGCATCATATGGTAATTCTGTGTTTAACTTTTTCGGGACTCACCAAACTGTTTCCACAGCTGCTGTGCTATTTTACATTCCCCCCAGCAGTGCACATCCTTGCTAACCCTTGATTTAAAAAAAAACAAACAAAAAAAACAGCTATCTTAATGGCTGTGGCATTACAGATTTTTAACCAAAAAAAAAAATCAAACATACTGTGAATTTCACATTTTAGAGAGGCCCGTAATCTGCATTGTGGAGAGCAGACCAGACCGGTTCAAGCTGTTGAAGAGAGGAAGACCTTCCTTAGAAGGCTTGTCGCAGCAATTCGGGCGAGAGGTGATGGTGACTTGAACCAGGGTTTAAAAATAATCCCTTGCGAGAGAGATTTACAAGGGAGAATCTACTAGCTCCTGTGAACAGTTGTGGGCGTGGGGAAGAGACACAACTGATTTTCAGTTTCCTGGCTTGAGCAACTGGGTAGGTAGGTGGTCATTCCAATTGCTAAGATGGGGGAGACAGGAGAAAGAGAGAGAAGGGCTCCAAACTAACAGAGCGGGGCACTGACTCTCCTGGGCGCAGTAACAGTGAAAGAGTGGCATCCTTCGCCCTTTCTTGAAAGAGTGAGGGTTCTGGGTGACAGGTGACAATTGCGTTGAGGATAACGGCAGCGTTGGAGGTTACCTTGGAATGAATACTGAGGCACTGAGGCTCAGGCCAGCGTGCACTTATTTACAAGACCGTGCTCTGGGCAAGGCCCTGGCCCAGCTGCTGGGTCTCGGCCTCAGGCCAGTGAGAGATCCACGCAAGCAAATGTGGGCGTGGGTTTAGCTACTGGGTGAGGAAGAGCGGGCCAGTTTGGCAGGTCCTCACAGGAGGTCCTTGCTAAGAAATGCTGAAAACACGGATGTTACCTGACGCTTCCCTGCCTTTCACTAGTTCCTCTACCCAACACTTCTGGGAAAGTTATTAGAACAAAGACTCTAGAAGCTGATGTCTACCAGGAACTTGAACTAAGGATCCTTTTAGTGTCCTTTTGTGATTTATTGCGTGTTGCTTTTCATTATAATCTCAAATACTTAATGAAGCATTATTCACTTAATGTTTAAGAGGTACTTGTGACTTGGTAAAGGTAGATGGTGGTCACATTGCCTTTAAGGGTCTCTTGAAGGTCGACAGCCTTAGACTAGCATCGTGCACAGGTTCAAAGCATTTTCAATTGCTGTTGCTTTGTGTGCCTTCACCACAAGTGAGCCCAGGTAGTTGGCATTTTGTTTTATTTTTTTAAGTTTTTATTTGTTTATAAAGCACTTTAACCAGAGTGCATGTTTTAAAGAGCCAAATAGAAAATGTAATTTTATCCTAGCCCATTTGCCACTTCCTTTCCATTGTACATACTCTCATTCTCTTCTCCCTGCCTTTTGTAATACAGTAGGTTCGCTTTCGTCCCTTCTTGAATCTCTAGGCTGTAATAAATCTGTCCAACAGATTCGTGCTGTCATTCACTTCTGTGGAGTTTTTACCCCTCTTGGGTTTCTTTCTTTCTTTCTTTTTTTTTTTTTTTTGCTCTTTAAAGTTCTCTGTTAATCTTCTGATTGATAAAATTCAGGTCACAGGTAGTTTAAATTCCATTTATCCCCAGATATTAAGTATTTTAAATAGATGTTGTGTTAAAGTTTCTGGCTTTGTCATCTGTGCATTCCTGTCCTCATCATACTCATCGCTCAGCCATTTGTGAACGTCGCC